AATTTCTGTTCATGTCTTTCACCCATTTTCTAACTGATTTTTTTTTTTTTTTACTATTTGAGGGTATTTATATATTCTAGATACTAGTCCCTCACATATTTGGTCTGTAAATATTTCCTCATAAGTCTGTAGCTTGTCTCTCATCTTTTTAGTGTATTTACAGACCAAAAGTTTTAATTTTGATAGTCCAGTTTATCAATTTTTCCTTTTATGGACCATGCTTTTGGTGTTAACTATTTAAGAGCTCTTTGTCTAGATTTAGATTCGAAAGTTTTATCCTGTTTTCTAAAACATTTATAGTTTCACATTTTACATTTCTGTTCGTAATCCATTTTGAGTTAATTTTTTGATAAAGTATGAAGTTTAGGTTAAGGTTCATTTTGGGGAAGATTCTCAATTGGGCCAGTACTAGTTATTGAAAAAGCTCTTTCCTCCATTGTTTTTGCACCTTTATCAAAAAAGCAGCTGGAGATATCTGTGTGGGTCTATTTCTGTGTTTCCTGTTCTGTTCCATTGATCTGTGTCTATCCTCCCACCAATACCACACAGTCTTATTGTAGCTACATAATAGGTATTGAAAGTTAATAGACTGATTACTTCCACTTTGTTCTTCTTTTTCAAAACTGTTTTAGCTATTCTAGTTCCTTTGCCTTTCTATATAAATTTTAGAATAATCTTGTCTAAATCAATAAAAATCTTGCTGGGATTTTGACTCGAATTACATTGTAGCTGTATATCAATTTCATGAGAATAAACATTTTTACTATGTCGAATATTCCAATGATGAACACAGCACATTTCTCCATTTATTTAGATCTCCTGTAATTTTTTTCATCAGCATTGTGTAGTTTTCAGCATATAATCCTGCACATGTTTTGCTAGTATATTTTTGGAGTGACGGTAAATAGTACTGTATTTTTAACTTTGGTGTCCCTATGATCATTGACAGATATAGATACAGATATAGAGTTGACCTGTTTATATTGATCTCATAGCTTGTGACCTTGCTGAACTCACTTGTCATAGAAGGGTTTGTTTATAGATTCCCTGAGGTTACCTATGTAGCTAATAATCTGCAAATAGGGAGTTTTTCTTTCTTCCTTTCCAAACTACATGCCTTTTACTTTTCTTACCTTTATGTACTGGCTAGAATGTCCAGTGCTGTGTGGAATAATAGAATGGATATCCTCACCTCGTTCCTGATCTTAGGGGGAAAGCATTCACTCTTGTACCATTAAATATATTAACTATAAGTTTTTGTAGTCTTTTGTTGTTTTTATCACAAATGAGTGCTGAATTTTGTCAAGTGCTTTTTCTGTGTCAACTGATAGCCTAACTGCTGTTCACATGTTCAGTTTAATTCATGATAGAAGAAAATAATGCCAAATAGATTACTTTCAAAGTCATGAGGCATAGTGTTCAAACACTGTTAGTATGATCATAAAATGGAATTGTGTGGGCAGCAAATGACCCTGGAAAAGCTCCTTTCTTCCTCCTTCCCCTCCTTTTGTGCTTCTGGGTTCTACCACTCTCAATACAATACAGTCCATTTTTTCTCTGAGGATATAGCTTATCTACTACAAAGGACTCAGATATTAGAATCCCAAATAATTGTTTTCCTTTAGTGAGTATATGTGTGAGGGGTGTGTGTGTGTGTGTGTGTGTGTGTGTGTGTGTGTGTGTGTGTACAATCCTAACACAGCAAAATACAAATCACTGGGACACTTGTTAAAGAATGTCATATATCTAACCAAAACAAGTAATCAGGTAGACACAACACTAAAAAGATTCCTATTCAAGTGAGGATAAAATAAACATGTCTGCAACCACTACTCTTATCTTTGGAAATCATAAGCAATGCTATGAGATAAGAATAGCAAAGTTGCAAAAAGTATGAGAAAGAGGAGGTAAAATGACCATTATTTGCAGAAAATAGTTTTTTCCCTGTGCCTAGAAAACCAAATCAAGAGAATAGTGTGGAGACTTACAAGGAATACATATAAATATCACCATTTTTCTATACAGCTATGATCCATTATGAAAGTAAAAACAAAGTTCCATTTAGAGTAACAACATATAAAATATGAAAATATATAATACATAAGAATTAAATTCATAAGCGTGTAGCACTATTATGAAAAAATGGAAAAGTATACTGAGGAAAAGAAAAACTGTAATATAAGCTGACCTTGTTTCTGAATTGGAAGAATGAATTTTGTTGAGATATAACTTCTTTCCAGATTTGAAAATTACCTAAATGTAATTCCCATCAAAATTTCAAGGGTATTTTGGGGTAAAGGATTGAGGAAGAACAATCAAAATGATGATAGAATTTATCTGGATTAATAAATGTATGAGTAGTCAAAATATTCTTTAAAAAGAAAATACTGTTATAATTATCATTTTATAACTTATAAATTTCTAGTAATTAAGACATGGAAATGGCAGAATTAAAGTGTGAATTTATTTCATTTCTCTCTTAATTTTTTTTCCTAAAATGAATATAAAGAAATTGATAAGTTCACAAAGACAGATTTGGGGGGGCACTATCACTAGAGAATTAACATCACTAGGACTGTTGGAGATTTTGAGAGGTTATATAAAATAAATAACTACATTTATAGAATAATTATTACATGCCACATGCTGTTATGCATATAACATACATAACTTCATTTGATCCATACAACTTTAGGAGGCATTATCTGGTATTATGTCATTAGACAATTGAGAAAACTTTGGGAGACAGAAAATAGATGGAGTAGTAACTGCTTTCACAGGAGAGAAAGCAAATCAGTTTGCCACAGGAAACCCAAGACAGGCAAAGAATTGACAGCAAGTACAATAGATGAAGGTTCTACATAACAAAGAGAGGTTGAAAGACTGCACACGGAAACTGTAAATCCCTCCTCTTACTCATTTCCATGTAGCAACTCATAAGACATTCTCCATATTAAGTTAAAAGGAGATATCCAGGGCCCAGGACACCAAGTGTAGGTGTGGGACGCATTAGAGGTGAAAAAAGAATTCATTGAAAGTCTGTTTTTAGGAATATGGTCACCTTCAGCCCCTTATTCCTGTCCTGTGTGCAAACTATTATCAGCCAGGAGAACCAAGGGATCTTCTGAAGAACACAGCACCAACCAAAAGACTCAACATCAGACTGATATGTAGAATACTCACCCCCTCAAAAAAAGAAATGGCTTTCTACCCAATTACTCGCAAATGAAGCTCCTCAGGTAATAGATTAAATATAAAAGAACATTCAAGGATAAAACAGGCCCTGGAGAGGAAAAGAAAATTTAAGATAATGAGAAAAAGGATCTTGAGTGAAACAAATAATGCCCAGAAAATATTTAAAAAATTTTTTTCCAGAGGAATAAAGGGCATCCAGAAATAAGCACAGTATTTTAATGAAAAGGAAAACAGAGAACAAGAAACAGGTCGTGGAAACTAGAATTTCGACAGTCAAAATTAAAAATTCAATAGATGGCTGAAAGTTATATAGCCAAGGAAATCTCTCAAAAACAGGAGGAAAAAAAAAAAAAAAAGCCCAGAGGCTTTTTTAAAATGTAGAGAAAAGATAGGAGACTCAGTACATGATCACTGAATTCCCAGGATAATTGGAATTCTAGGAGATAAAATGATGAGTGGGGAGGAGAATGTTATATAGAAAGTATACAAAAACAGTAAAATAAAATTTCCCAGAATTGAAGGATACAAGTATCCAGATTGAAAGGGTCCATGACGTACCCAGCACAATGAATAAAAAAAGATAAACAACAGGCACATTTTTATCCAATTCTAGTATATCAGAGAAAAGATTAAAAGAGCCTCAAGGAGTATGAGGAGACAGGTTCTGAATAAAAGAATGAGGATCCGAGTTGCATTCGACTTCTGAATAGCAACACTGGCTGTAACTCTGGTATGAACAAATTGGTTACCTCACTGTCCTTTTCCTTCTCAGAGAAAGCAAAAAGAGCAACAAGGAAAAAATAGAAACAAGAAAACAAAAATTAAAAAAATATTGCCCCACTTTCTCAGCAAACAGGTGACACACAAAATCAGCAGAACTCCAAAGAATTAAAATTAAAATTTAAGAAAATGTGGAGAACCTCAACAGGGCTCATAAGTGGCAGATCTCAGTACCAGTAAAATTACACCTCCTGAAAAGAAGAAACTCATCCAGAAATGAAAAATCTATCTTATAAATCTAACAACTGAGGAGTAAAGTCAGCTGAACTTCAGCAGAAGACAGGAGGTTGGGATGCAGAGACAAAGGCACAGAGTATCTACAGGGCTCCTAGCAGATCTCAGAAAGATCTAGCAAAATCATAACCCTTCAAGGTGAACGGCTTACCTGGAAGTGCCAGGGCTTGTTCCTCTGCTTGCTGCTGCTGGCGAAAGACCTGAGGATGCAAGGCTGGTGACAGAAATCCTTCCAGACTCAGCTTAGGTCAGAGAAGCAGGGCTACACAAAAAAATTTCTGAGGATCCATACCCACCAGATGAGTGGTCTCTGTGACAGTAAAGAGAAGGCCTTTGAAAAGTTTGAAGCCTGGAAAGGAATCCAGGCCCCTTTCACCATCCATGAATCCACATGCAAATAGCTGGACCAGGAAAAATCATGTCATTAAAAAATGTGTTCAAGAAAGACTATGGCACAGCATCCATACATTTCATTTAAAAACATGTGAAAGAAAGCTGCAAAATTGACAAATGCATGAAAGACATTCACAGAAAAATGCTGTCACAGATGAAAATGAAACCACGGGGTAAAAATCTTAACAAAACTATCATTTCCATGGAGGAAGACCACAGAACAGATATTCAGGAACTCATAGTTTTTACTTTGCCACTTTTGCTGAACTGCTTTTATATTGAGAATGTCCTTTCTCTTTATAGAACAAAAAGATATTTATCAATGTTTTTACTCTATGGCTTCAATTTTAACTCTTTTTTTTCTGGAACTTGGTTTGATATAGGAATGAACTTAAAACTTTTCCATATACTAATTTTATTTTGGGATGGGGAAATGTGTATTTCCAAACAACATAGTTCATGCTTATTTGGCTGCCAGAATTTCTCTTGTTGGATCCAATGCTTCTTTAGCAAGGTTGTTGCTCCATCAGGAGAGCCAGCAATGTTACAGATGTCTCTGTCACTGCACATTTCTTTGTGCTCACTGCCAGGGAGGCTGTAGATTCTCCAACAAAATCCAATGTTAGATTTAGAACTGAAGGTTCTTTGTTTCGGGTACCTGTAATACCTATAAAAAGCAAATTTTAAAAAATAAGGCAAATTTTTGTCATTGTTTTATAATACTATTAATAGTTGTACGTTACTTTTGTATCTACAACGATCTTATTTAAAAATACAAATGGTTAATAACCATTATTCATGAAGTGAGTTAGATATTACATAATTTATTCAGAGGAATTCTAGGATAGAAAACAAAGTATTTTAAATTAATTATTATTTTTTTGTCTCAATTGACTTCAAAAGAAATTTGTTAAGGAAGTTTTAAAACACCAAGTAAAATGAACCCCCCTACACACATATTTAACAACTATCTTTAAAAAATTATCAACCATTCTGTCATTTTTCAGGTAACACACACTGATTACTTGGGAAGTGTCTGAAAATTTCCCAAGTCTGCCTTACCCCATTAAAACTCAAAAGAACACAATGAACTAGGTCAGTGTCAGAATATAACAGCAATTAAGTTTACTTGCATGGATATCTTCCCAAAAAGGGGCCCTAGAAATATCTTTACAAGTTTATATGTTTTTACGAAGTTTGCAAAAATTAGATATTTCAATCATAATCAGGTAAGATCACCCTCTCCTTCTATTTCGACAGCCCCTCATTTATACTTTCCCCTCCTATTATAACTATGAGGTGCCGGTGAGCATTTCTGAGATTTTGTTAAGGACTGACTAGGATATAACTTTGTGCTTTAAAAATCTCCTCTATGTATAATTACATTATTGCAGGCCATCTCAATTTGGGATGTGTTCTAGAAGTATTTTGAATGTGGTCGATTCAAAGAATATTGAAGAGCAGTCACTCCACAGAAAATTTGAAATGCTCTGAAATCTTATAGCTCAGATATCAAAGAAACTCAATAGAGGTTTCTTCAAATTTGACAATGATAAAAATTATATTGTATTACTAATAAAAAGTTGAGAATTTGAAAGAAATCTCTGTATAATGTCAAAAATAAGCAAATTTCCATCAACTATTTTAGAAGATACTCTAAATTAGCTTTATCTTCCTTCTATAGAAAAGGATATTACAAAGTTATCAAATGAAGAGACACTCAAAATGTATGCTTTTATTGGTCTAAATAAATATTTCAAATTGTACCTAACAGTGTATTCATAATTTTGTGGGTTTTTTTTTTTTTTAATAGAGCTCACCAAATTCAATAAGCAACAGGCCTCACAAAACCTAGAACCATATAGGGGTTATTATATTATCCTTTGAAAGATGAGTAAATCGAAGTTCAAAGAGATCAATCAATTCTCCAAGGTTATATAGATAATCACATTTTTAGTCTCTAAAATATTGGCTAGTAAATACAAAGAACCATTTGATAGTGTTGATTATTTGTTCATGACAAACTATGTGACCATGGCAATTTATTTAACCTCCTGAAACTTTGGTTCACTGTGTACAAAAAAGAGGGATCCTACTAGATCATCTTTAAGTTGTCCCTTCAAAACTAGGCCAATGGCTGCTTCCTTGAACTCACTACAGGGTGTAGGGCACAGTCTATCACAGGGCAGTAGGACAAGGGTTGCTAGGTCTTGGACACATTAAAACTTGTATAAATTTGATGATATGCAGTATACAATGCTTTGCTAATAATGACTCTTAGGAAAATTCCCTCACCCCCACGAAAGTATATATAGGGGTGAATATGTGTCATTACATTCAGGTTTCTGTTGCGTTAACCAACTTAGGAGAAAAAAATATAGCACTACACAAACTGGGTAGTACTGTATCTGATTCACTCATTAATCATGTCAAGATTTAAGTGTTTTAATTTTTTCTTTAAAATAGATTCACATGCATTATAAGACATAATACAGAGAGATTCCATGTATTTTTTTCTCAGTTTCCCCTTGGAAAATCTTGTAAAACTCTAGTACAATATCACAGCCAGGATACTGACAGTGATATGGTCAAGGTGCAGAACAGTTCCATTGCAAGAACCCTAATATTGCCCTTTTAGGGTCATACTCACTTCCCTCCCGTCCTCACCACCTCCTTAACCCCTGGCAACCACTAATATTCTATTTAAAAATTTCTGTCATTTCAAGAATATTATACAAATGGAATTATACAATATGTAATTGTTTGAAATTGACTTTTTTCACACAGGATAATTTCTTAGAGAGTCATCTAAGTTTTTTAAATATCGATAGTTTGTTTCTTTTTATTGCTGAGTAGTATTCTAAGCTACAGATGTACCACAATGTCTTTGTGCATGTGGATGTTCAGTTGTTCCAACACCATTTGGTGAAAAGACGATCCTTTCTCCTTTGAGTTGTATTTGCTTCTATGTAAAAGATCAGTTGATTGTGTTTGTGGGTCTACTTCTGGGCTCTCTATTTGGTTCCATTAATCTACTTGTTCATTCTTTTGCCAATACCAAAACTACCTTGATTACTATCACTTTATAATATATCTTGAAGTCACATATTTATTTTTTTCCCCTTCTTTTCTTCAATACTGTTCTTTTCTTCAGTTTTGTTTTCTTCAGTAGTGTGTTGGCTATTCTGGGCCTTTGCCTTTCCATATGAACCTTAGAATCAGTCTGTTGATATCCACAAAGTAACTTGCTGGGATTTTGAATGGGGTTGCACTGACTCTATAAATCAAGTAAGAACAACTGACATCTTTAACAATATTGAGTTTTATTATCCATGAAACTGGAATTTATTGAGAACTTTGATTTCTTTCATGAGTTCTCCTCATACAGATCTTATACATATTTTATTAGTTTTATACCTAAGTACTTCTTATAGACAACATATAGTTGGATCTTGTTTTCTGTGTATACTTGACACTCTCTTTTAATTGGTATATTTAGACCATTCACATTTAAAGTGATTATTGATATAGATGGATTTATACAACATTTATAACCTTACTATATGTGACCTTGTTCTTTCTTTTGTTTTGTCTTCCACTCTCCTCCTATTCTGGTTTTAACCGATAGTTTTTCTATGATTATATTTTATCTCCTCTCATCATATCGATTATACTTAAAAAAAATATTTTAGTTACTCTAGCATTTGAAACATACACTTACTACTAATCTAAGTCCACTTTCAAATAAGACTTCTGTTTCATGTTTACTCTTATTTTTACTTACTGTATTTACTTCCTTATGTCTCAAGATTCCTCCTTTAATGGTTTGTTTATAGACTTCCTTTAGCCATTCTTCTAGCATAGTCTGTTGATGACAAATTTTCTTAGTTTTCCTTCACGTAAGAATGTTTCAATTTCTCCTTCATTCCCGAAGGATATTTTCCCTAGACACAGTATTTCGTGTTGACAGTTCTTTTAGTATTTGAAAAATGTGCCACTTCTTTCTGGCCTCTTCTGTCATTCAAATTATTTTCTCCTATATGTAAGGTGTCTTTCTCCCTCAATGCTTTCAAGATTTTTCTTTGCCTTAAGTTTTCAGAAGTTTGACTCTGATATATATATAGGTGTAGATTTCTTTGGATTTACCCTGTTTAAAGTTTATTCAGCTTCATAAATTGAGGTTTCTGTCTTTGCTCAGTGTGGGACATTTTTGGAGAATATTTCTTCAAATATTTTTTTAGCTCTGCCCTCTTTCCACTCCTCGGCTCTCATAACATGAATATTAGTTCCTTTTCATATTTCCACAGGTTCCTGTGGCTGGGTCCTTTTATTCTATCAAGTTCACTGAATCCTCTGTCCCACCCATTGTTCTGTTAAGTCAATCCATTGTGTTTATTTATTGAATGATTTAGGTTATAGTATTTTTCAATTCTAAAATTCCCATTTGGTTCTTCTTCATATCTCCTATTTCTTTGCTGTTTGACTATTTCCATGCTGAGATATTTTATGTTCTCATTTGTTTTGTAAGCATGATCTTAATTGTTTGTTGAAGCATTTAATAACAGTTACTTAAAAATATGTGTCATAATTCTAACATCTCTGTCAACTCAATGTTGGCATCTTTTTTTTTTTAGTCAAGATATTACTGGTTTTTGGAATGACATTTTTTTAAATCGAAACCTAGATATATTGGTATTATGTTATGAGACTCCAGTTCTTAAACTTTCTGCTTTAGTTGGTTTCCTCAGACACCACTTTAGGAACAGAAAGGGGAATGTTTCTGCTTTGTCACTCCCAGGTAATGAAGAAGTCCCAGCTCCCTAAGTTAGCTTCTGTTAACACCTGAGGTAGGAGGAGGGGATCCTTAATGCTGGGCAAAGGTAAGTCATGGCTCTCCATTAGACTCCCTCTGACACCAGCCCACTGGGGTGGGATTCATTATAAGCTGGCAAAGACGGAAGTCTGGGCTCCCTATTTAGTCTTTGCCAGATTGGGTGAGGGCGAAGCCACATTTCTTTCTGCAGCATTTGCTGAAGAACAGAAGTTACTGTGTAAAATAATGTTTTCTGTCTTGCTAGCCTACCTTTTCCTGATCCTTTGACTATAGAGGGCAGGTTTTTTGCAGAGCTTTTTTTTCTGCCTGCATTCATTGGTATTTCCAAGTTGCTAGCTTCTTCAGCTCCAAGCCTGAGATATATGAGGCAAACAGAAAATTCAGGGAACTCATCACTGTCATTCCGTGAGTTCTAGGGTCCTTAGTTTATTGGCGTTCCCTTCATCTTTCAGTCTTCTTTTGTTGATATGTAATGTTTAAGGTTTTAGTTGTGAGGAAGAGGGCAAAGTACATTTCTCCATCCATTTACATTCAAATTGTGATTTTTATATCTAAAATCTATTTCTTATAGATAGATATAGTTGGGTCTGCTATTTACTCATTTCGGTAATCTCTGCCTTATTAATTTGTATGTTTAGACCATTAGTATTTAATGTAATTATTGCTATGGCTATGTTTATAACTACAATTGTATGAGTTTTGTTTGTCTTCTTTTTTTTGTTCTTCTATACCTTCTCCAAACTTAAAAAATTTAAACACTTAAAAATTTTTCATTTTATCTTTTTGTTATACCTCTTTGCATTCTTTTCAAAATTGTTATTCTAAAAATTATGATTCATTCTTAACTTTCTACCTAGTTAATGTTGCACTACTTAATACACAGAAACATTGTAACCATATACTTCTCTATACTACCACTCCGCCTTTTATGCTCTAGTTGTCATGTGTCTAGTACATATGACAAACCATGTTATAATTTTTGCTTTATTTTAAAGAAATTAACAAGAAAATGGTTTTATATTTCTCTATTTACCATATCTCATGCCTTTCAGTCAAACTTGCACTACTTCTCAAAATTAGTTGAACTTGAAGATTAGCAAAGTGCAGCACTATTTAACCCTTATATGGACTAATACATATATTTCATATTAAGACTGTTCTGACCTTCCTAATTTAAGTCATGAAAAGTAAAGAAATATCATTTGACACCAAAACAGAAATTTACACAATGAAACTGGTGACACTACTGATTATAAAGTAAGTTGGTTATAAGGTGATGTCTGTGTTTTTCATATTACCAAATGCAACTTTTAAAAAACACTAAATATTAAAATTCTTGTTAAAAATTGTCGCAACCATGAAAATCTCTACAGTAAAAAATAAAACAGGAGATATTTTCAACTCATTTTAAGGGTACCTCAATATATCTTCAAAGTAACCATGAAATGTTAATTAAGGCATAAAAACATACTTGAAATTTAAGAGCATTTTATTTCCCTTAGAAGTCCACTGGGAAGTAGAAATATTTGGAGATGTAAAGACTCATAAAAATAAACTAATATGTAGGAAACTTCAAATACTAAAGAAACGTTTATTGAGCCTTTACAATGTGCTAGGAACTGCTAATAACCAGGGTTATAGACTCCTTTCAAGAAACTTGCTATCTACTAGGGGAGAAAGGCAAAAAGACTGAACTTTTATTATAAGGGAACCAGAAAGGTTGAACTTCAGTATTTTGAAGAAAGTGGGGAACCAGTGAAGGATTTTCAAGAGGAAAAATATGATAAACTTCACAGACAGGCTAACCCACCGCCACTCTCCTCTCTCCTGTCTACCTTTACTATAGAAGTTATGAAAGGGAAAAGCTCCCATTCTAAGCCTCCCTTGCAGTGAGGGATGGCCATTTTGACATAGTTCTAGCCAGTGAAATGTAAATCTATTTGAAATACTTCTGGCAAAGCTTTTGATTTCCTGATGGATATCCAGGGCTTGCTCTACCCTTTAACTTGCCTTAAACCCAGTATGTCTAAAATTATGCCAGTCATCTCGTAATGCTAAAGGCAAGACCAAAAGCATCCTAGATAACACAGCAATGACGCCATTCAGCAAAGCCTGCAGTCATCTCCAGATCCCTTGCTATTCAAAATTATAAGTCCACCTCAGTGATTTAAGTTGGGTTTTCTGTTATCTGAGTCTGAATGTCTTCCTGTCTTCCTAATAAAAGTTATAAGAATAAATATGTATTTTAGAATGGCCATTCTGAGTACAGAGCGTGGATTAAGAAGGGGCGAGAATGAAGATAGGGAGACTTGTTAGGAAGTTATTATAGTAATTTAAGCAAAAAAACCAAAGGCCTGAAATAAGATAACCACAATGGGTATAGTGAGGAAAATACAGATTACAGAGATATTTAAAAGGTAGAAGAGACACAGAAAGAGGATCAAGAAAAGGTTTCAGATGTCTTCCAAGTTTTTAGTTTGAGCACAATGCTCAAAGATTGTGTCATTCTCCAAAACAAATACAGTAAGGGATTGATAAGTTCTGCTTTGGCCATGTTCAAGTTTGAGATGCCTATGGGGAAACAATGTGAAAATTATAAAAAGGCAGATGACTATGGATCTTGAAGTCAAGAGTGAAGTCTGGATAGAAGAAACCCAGATTTGAGAGTTACAATGATAATGAGTAGTACTGTCCAATAGAACTAGAGTTGACCCTTGAACAATGCAGGGGTTAGGGGTGCTGATCCCCTAGCACAGTTAAAAATCCACATGTAACTTTTAACCTCCCAGAAAATTTAACTATTAATAGCCTACTGTTGACCAGAAGCCTTACTGAGAACAAACGCTTAACACATATATTGTATATATATTATATACTGTATTCTCACAATAAAGCTAAAGAAAATGTTAAGAAAACCTTAAGGAAAATACATTTACAGTATTTACTGAAAAAAATCCACATATAAGTGGACCCATGTAGTTCAAACCTATGTTGTTTAAGTGTCAACTGTTTAATGTAAGCCACATATGTAATTCTAAAGTAAAAATAAATTTTAATATTTAACTCAGTATATCCAAAATATTATTTCAACATATTGTTATTAATGTGATAATTTACATGCTGTCTTTAAAATTTGATGTGTATTTAACACTTAAAGCATCGCTTGTTTCATCTGAATGCCTTCTTTACCACAAATACTTGATTTGTATATAAATTTCATAAATTTACAGTTGAAAAAGTGGATTCATACACCCAAATTGTTCCAAAGAGTTAAGTTTTCTAATAACTGAAAGAAAATCATTCCCTTTATTATTTACATCCACGCTGAGGAAAATCCCATTCATAATTTTAAAAAGAATTGATTTGCATTCTGAGCAAAAACATATCAGTTTGAAAACTACATTTGTCTAAGTCAATAAATCTCGAGTCAGCTCAGTATAGTTAACACTGAATTCAGTTATTAGTAAATTAAAAAGCAACTCTAAATTTATCAATAAAACATTTTTCAAATTTTCTTGTAGTTTTGTAGTACATTTGCATAACTGTCAAATATAGTTAAAATCTTATACATACCAATTTATATTAGAATAATGTGTAAAATTTTTATTTTTAAAAGTTTTGATTTCAAAATAAATTTTAGTACTTGTCTAGGTAGAGTATAAGCTGGTTTTTTCTTCCTTGGAGCTTCAAATTTAGATCATTCATATACCATGTGATATTGGGGAGAAAACAAACTACCATTTTCTCTTTGATGATTAAATATTTGGCTAGCATTTCTGTTGTTGCAAATTTTGAACTGGTATTAACAGTACAGGAGGTTTTGTAGCACTCTTCCACAATTCAACCAGCTAATAGACTATACAAGATCACTAAATTCATTGTCTCCTAATTCTTCAGTAAGCCTATAAACTGATGTTGATTTATAGCACTGCATTCATATAATGGACACTTAACAATTATAACCATGACATCTGTCAGAAACCATTTTAGAAAACTAAGCACAAATATTTTTAAACTGTATCATTTGGTGGAACAAAGAAATAAGGGAAACATCAGGCTCATTTAAAAATTCCAATGAAATCTGACTTTTGACCTAACCTAGCTGGAACACCATTTATTGTGACAGAAAATAATTTATTCTCATCTAGCTGAAACTCTTCTGACAAATGTTAAAGATTAAATAATAGCTATACAAGTTTGATTTTTTAGGCCATGAATCAAAATGGTTTCTTCACAAATTTCTAAGTCCTGTGACACAAAATATACTTAAAGTATTACTTGGGTGGTGTCTCTTACATAACTCATCTAAAACTAAAGAAAAATACTTGCAATTTTTTGGATTTTGAATTAATTAATCTTTACTATTGTTAGGTCCTGTATTCTATAATATTTGATGACTTATCACTTTTTTTTTTTAATAAAACATGTTTAGGCTTTAACTCATAATTTTCTAACAATTTCTGAATAAATTAAAACAAATAATTTATCCTATTTATCTAAAACTAGTTTTTTCATGAAAGAATCTAAGCTGTTTTCTATCTGGCCAAACTTATATTCTTTTTTGACCTGTGAAAAATAACTTCATTCATTCATTATGCATTTGCTAAAACTATCTCAATATTGTCCACTTTGGTCTCTAATTTTTTAGTAAATAGCAGCTTGTTTTTCTGTCACAGCAAACTGAAATTGTCATTTATCATGAAATCCGCAACATACCTTCTTCTAGTCTGTTTACTGTTCCAGTTGTAGTACTAGTTTCTGCATCTCCAGTTGACTTTTTCAGTATGCTTTCATTTTAAATTTTAAAATTTGTTCATATTCATGTCTAAACTAGAAAAATAATTTAATTATAATTAAAATAAGTACTTCAATTACCAATTACAATTTACATAAATATCACTACTTCCTGTTGTCTGTATAAAGTGTTTAGATAAACATGTTATGTTGATTTATAGAAAAAAATAATTTGCATTGAATCCATCTGTCAACACTAACTCAATCAGTAATGTTTTTATGTAACACTAGACATGGTACAGGAGTTTGACAGGCACACTACAACAATCACGTTTTAAACAAGGTAACAAAGTTAAACATATTTCTAAAAAAAAGTTAAGTTAAACAAAAATATTTTACACTGTTTTCATTTTTATATTTAAATAAAAAACTTACTTTCTTAGTCCTACTGAACTCATTTTGAGTGCTTAATAGTCACATGTAGCTAGTGGTTACTATATTAGGCAGAACAGATACAGAAATGAGAAAGACAAGAGTCAAAAGGCTTACAGTTTTTATTCCATTTCTTTTGACGTAATTTCCAGGGTTTAGAATTTATCTGGATTATGTTATTCTTTTGCCTCCTTACTAAAACAAAGCAAAAGTGGAAATGGTTGGATTTTCTGTACAGGACTCCTTGAAATATGTGTTATGGTCAACTCTAGCAGGTATGCGCTAATCACCAAAAACCTATCCCTCCTAAAAAAAACATCCACTTTGTTTTTGGTGAATGTCTTTTAAGTAGCAACAAACTGGTAAAAATTTAACAGCTGGCTTTCAAAAAAAATTTATGTATATGTATAAAAGATGTATAGCACACTACTTACAAATGATAAAAGCATAAATACTCTTTATTTTAAGTTCCATATAGCCAACTGATTCTCATAAAAGGCTTTTGATGATTTTTGCCTAACTCTTGTATCTGTAGCCAACCTATGGTTGCAATTAGACCAGGATTTTACAAATGGAATTGCATCCCAATCTGCTATAAACTATTTCTTACTCTTGTACAAATTATGTTCATTAAATTGAAACCTCTTTCAGCTTCGGCACTATTGATTGCAATAGTGCCAACTATCTTTTTAGCTTTTTGTATGGTTGTAGGAATTGAAACATTGTTTGATTTTATGTTATTACTTACAAATTCTCGAAAATCTTTTAAATCAATTTCATATTTTAACAGTTCACATAGATGAAATAACTTTTTTTCACCAGCTACCCATGGTGAAGTTATTTCTTCGTAAGGCCATGTAGAAGGTTCTAGCAAATCAAAATAATTAAAAATACTTTCCTCATACTGTCTGTCAGATAAAAGACGTAAGTTCATGTGTTGAATTATATTTTCTAGTAACAAATTCCTAGGAAGGGCTTTAAATTTATTATTTTTATTAAATGGAATATCTTTAAACTTATCTGACTTAATCAGACCTTCGATTTGAGACTCATGTTTTCCAGTACCAATTTTTAAATTTTCCAATGCCCTTATGGTGCGTTTGATTAATTTTTGTGCTTTTTGAATGTTAGTTGATCTCGACTGTAATGCAGTAGAAAGTAGTGAAAATTCTTCAAGAATGTCAATCATTAAAGCAAGGTCTTGCAAGAAATTAATATTAGCTAATCTATTTGCCAAACCAGAATAAGAATGAGAAAAATGCAGATATAATATAGGATATGCGCACCATACTGCAGTGGCAGCTTGTAAACTACATGCTGCCCATCTTGGTCCCATTACCCGGCCAATTTTAACAATTTCAATTTCAAGATCTTTAGCTACAGGTTCTAAAAGCTTGTTTTGATTTTTATTAGACTGATGATAAATGGAATAAATTTTATCAATAAATATTTTAAAATGATTAACGTGTTTTATTTCTGATATTGAATCATCAAGTGACAATTGCAATCGATGGTTTAAACAGTTCCAAATAATGATTTCAGGAAAATTTTCTAACATCTTTGTAGCTACTCCAGATTTTCTTCCCAGCATTGTATTAGCACCATCAGAACAAAATGCAATTAAATTTGCTTTCAAATATTCATTAGTAAAACCATAATCATTTAAAGTACTCAATAACGTACTGACAATACACTCTGCTGTAGTTGACACCAATTCTTTTAAAGCAACAAATAACATAACTGGTGCAGGTACTGACTGAGCTGTGCACTGGAGATAAATCACTAGGGTGCTTTTCTTTGAAACTGTAGATGCCTCATCAATTATGACGCAGATTTTGGCATTTTCTTCTATAATATTCTTAAATATCTTCATCTTCATTTCTTTTGCAATATGTTCTGCTATTCTTGTTGCACTGTATCTTGTATTTAAACAATTTACCTCTCCATTTTTCTCTTGTAATTCTATTGCCCCCTCAATATCAGATAAAGGTCTGTTATGTTTTACTAAACTGTAAACAACATTGAAAACTTTTACAGTAGCATCAATATTTTTATTATTTTGTTTATCCCCTATGTTAGAAATTGAGTCATTAGTTGATTCCTTTAACAAATCCTGAATTTTACCATGAGCTTTAGAAATATCATGTTCCTTAATTTTTTTTCGCAGAGAAGCTTGTCTAGTAGTTTTATTACTGCCATTAGGGGTTACTAAATATGCAATCCATTCCTTGGACACATGAACATGCTTTTCTGCTTTTGATCCCAAATGCCGAACTGTTGAACAATCCTTACATCCTAATTTACCTTCTTTTATTTCAAGCCATTTGTACTGTTCTGTGAACATAAATGCCTGTTTTTCATTCCAACAATCTGGAAGCACAAGGTTATCTATTTCTTCCTTTGATGAACATGATGGCTTTTCTTCAATGACTGGTTTTTCAACATATTTGAAATGTGATTCCTTCAACTTAGGCAATCCACAATGATTTTTGTTCCTATTATTACTTTCTGTGTCTGTTTTCAACTTCTTCACATTTAAAAAACGCAAAAAATCACCCTGTCGTTTTGGCATTTTGGGGAACAGAATCTGAAAAATAATTTTACATGTAAGTAAAATTCATGTTAACACTCTAAGGGTTAATGTAAAAAGTTTTATTAATAATTTCTTTGTATAATCTTTGAAATTTAAACTAAAATACTTACCTTGATTTTTAGTTTACACTTATAACTTCAATACAAATTACTATTTCTTGAAAAATCCACTATCGGTTTTTAAAATTCTATAGCCAATGTCACAAAATCTGACTATGTTTATCATCCAATTCAACAAGGAAGTTGCTCATATGATTTGCAAATGAATATAGTTCCAAAGTGAAGAGTGGTTGATATCTTTATTTACATTAATGAATACGATGAAAGTGAAAATAATGATGATGTTTATCAGAATTCCACTCATTTATCAATGACAACATTAACATCTTTGTTGAATCAATGAAAGATTTTTTAAATATTGAAGATTTTCCTCAATTTTTTGTGTAGCAGACAGCCTAGCAGTTAGAGATGTATCTCATTTTTAGGTTTAATTTGCATCAACATTTTATATTCACTTTTGTAAGTTTAGACAATCAACAATAAATCAAGCCCTGATTTCTAGTTTACTGATTACCTTGGTATAAATCCTGCCATCATGCTGAAGGGAGTAATATAGTATTTCTACCATACAGATACAACAGATGTAAATACCTCGAATGTATAGATATTAGGACATAATGAGTTTTGAGTATTTATTATCTTAAATGTAACAATAATTTACTTGTAAGTTTATATACTGCGATTGTTAATAATGGCTATGTTTAACAATCAGCTCTTGAACTTCCTGAAAATTTAACTGGTTCTAGCAAGCCAGTTCAATCCACCTCCAGCACACTATTGCACCTAATCACAGAAATGAGAAAACATAAATATAATATACTCACATCACTATGATAGGTGGTAGGCTCTTCATCCCCACAGACCAGATCAATATATTCAAGAACAGGTCTTGATGGTCCTTCCTAAAAAGGAAGAGAGCAAATGTATAAGTCATGAACAATCATCGAAACCAAACTTGCATTTACAATCAGTGGAGTTTTTTGTTGTTAGAATTAGCAAGAATTCTTCTGAGAAGGCCTTGTAGTGGCACAGAATAATCAGAAATAAAAGCAGCATAGGAAAAGATTCAGAGTTGATGAATATGAATATGTAATGAAAGCAAAATTCAAAAAGAGTCTAACTCTACAGAGGAATAAAGCCATGTGATTCTTTTGGAAATGGAAAATAGTATAAGAGTAGTTTTAAAAAGACATAGATATCATGGTACAGTGTTTTTTAACTGGGTGCTTATCAGTAATCTCTTAGATAGCTAAACTAAAAATCATGGAGTTCTTTGGTAGCTCTGTTTCTTCTTCCACACCCTTATTCAATCAAACATCGAAACCTGAATCTTCTTGATTCCTTTTTTTTAATCAGTTCTTTCTTTACATACATACTACCTTGAACACAGATTAGGCCTTAAACAGTCAGAAACCTAGATTTTATTCTATAGGCAAAAGGATCAATAAATAATGTTGAGATGGGAACATCAGAGCTCTTGGAAGATTAGGAGACTATTAAATGTAGAAAGACTAGTAACAAGATAATCCAGACAAATGATATATGTAGTACTAAAATAGAAGGCAAGGAGAACAATGAAGAAGTACACTCTTTTATGTATACTTCATAAAACCTACACCAAAGATAAGCGCTTCTTTTGTACTGCCAAATTTTTATTGTTTCTTTCTTTCAGCACATTTTATTTAGTTTGGGGTTAAGCATATGGCAGAATACAAAGAGGATGCTGTGCCACAATACAGACGAAGGCTGGAAAATTAGATTTACACGAAAAGACTGAGGAATCCAAACCAGAACACATTAAGCTGCAACATACTTCTTGACAAAAGATATAAAAAGAACATAAAATTTTTTCTTTTTGTATATGGAGAACCCTCAAGCAGAGAACTGTCCCTGGCAGCACTTCATCTCTCTGGATGGTACTATAAAAACACAGAGAAATAAGCATATCCTGGTGGAGCCCAGCATAAGGTAGGGTTAAAGAGGAAATAAATTATGTCTCTAAATGTATTTTAGAGAAGAATTAAATTACCTTTTTTAAAAAAAAATATGGCAGCATTTAAAGGCATAGGAATATTTTTACTAGGTTCTTTCTGGTACTGCACTTAGAATTACACTTAGAATACTTAATTCACGTTTCCTTATGGGGCTGTCAAATCTTCAATCTTCTCTCTATTTGCAAATGAAACTAAATACAAGAGGTTCTATCAAGCTGGATGTACAAAACTCTGGATGCATAATACAAAGAATTCTCTATATTTAAAATGAAATTTAAATTAAGGGTATTAAACCTCAGCTAAACATAAGCTGATATATTAACTCAGTCAGAATGTACAATATAATTATTTATTCCTCAGGGTAATTACCTATACCTATTTATTTTTCCAAACTTAATTTTGTAGATTCCTTCTGTGTTTCTCAAATAAGGTGTGCAGATCATAAACATGTGTCACTCCTGATTATGGTTACACAAAATACCATCAAGATTACGGTGTCTCATTCATTTCTGTCTTTATATCACTGTCAGGAGAAATCAAAGTAACTTTTCCTATAGACCTGTAGAATCCTCTTCCCAATTTTTCTTCAGTATAAAAGCAGACACTGTGGCTCTTCAATTTTCACAGCTACATCATTTACTCCTCACCACAGAGTAGGCAGAGTCAGCATACAAACCCTCTTGGTATCCCCAAATTTATAAGTTCCAAGTGTCAAGAAAATGGTACCACATGCACTATTAATGGAAAAGAATGTCAAGGAAATAATCTTATAAAGAATTTCTAGAGCCCTTACTAGAACAATAAACAATATTAACATCACAATGTTTAGGGAGGAAATAGTTTGATTTAAAATACAAGTGATTTATGAGGTTAAACATACAGCAACTAAAAAACATACACATATTAAACACTCATTTAAAAAAATACACCTGTAATAGCAAACTTGAACTCCTCACAGAAATTAGAGAGTGGTTTCAAGTAGGAGCGACTTTAGCTAGCAAAATTACCACTTTAAATAGAACCTTTGTAACAGTTTTGGGTGAAAATTATACCAAATGTATCATAACACCCCCTTCGGTTTTCGAAACCAATGCTTTATAAAGTGTGTTCAGAGATTCATATATATCTGCATTTGTGCCAAAAAACAGATTCCCAGTACCCACCTTCAAATTCTGATTCAATAAGTTTGGGGTGCAGTCTGGGAACCTGCACGTTTACACTTAATATTGCTTGAAAACTACTGTCCCAAAGGGATCTTCATTATGAACATCAATTGTTGAACTATGCTGTAACATCATGACCGCAGAGGTTCGTGAGACCTTCAAGCTATCTGCCTTCATATTATGAAGCTACAATAATGCTTAGGTTTTGAATTCTTGCAAACCTTGTTTTCTATCTCTTTCCTCATCTTTAGCTGTCCCTCCCATCTGTAAGATGTGTGTCATCTTTTAGAAGGTATTCTTACCCCATTTCAAAACAGTCTTAAGAGCTTAGAACTTTGCGTAGATTAATTTTAAAATGGCTCTAAATGAAGGCATGAGAAGAGTGATTAACTGTAACATGTACTTTAGGCCACAGTCCCTGAGATGGCTAACTGTAATTGCTCAGAGACCAATTTTGGTAAATTTTCTAATCCTATGCCATGCTCACACTGTCTAGTACCTATCGGGCATGCATACATATTTGCTGAATTATGAACAAGTGAGGTTTAATCACATAATGGCTTACCACACACAGTCTCTGACTCTGGGAAAAACCCGAACGTCATTGCTACTTACTCTAACAAACTGAATATCATCTTCATTTTCATCCGCTGTGGACTCAGATGCCTCAGGCCCAGCTGGAGAGACAGATTCTACCATCTACAAAAATAAATAAATAAATAAAACAAAACACGGTTATCTGTACAGCCACGTACTTGCAGCAACAGATCTTCCCTAAAGGAACGTAAAATGAAGAGCTTTAAAGGAAACCTAACTGAGCCTAATTCCACGCAACGCGACTAAGAACACAACTCGATGCAGTCCGGTTATGCCTCTGAATACCTGGGGCTGTAGGGACTGGACGACGAAAACAAGGTACCAATGCACCTGCTCCAGGAGATGGGATGCAAGTTACTATCAAGAGCAAGCCTGTCTCAAAAAGTCACTCCCACCGGCAGAGCAGCGGCAACACGGAATTCTGGAGCTGGTGCAGGGGGCTGGGGGCGGAAGGGGGCCATTGTTGCCGCTGCTTCCTCGCTCAGACCTGCACTAGCCCCCAAACCTGGGCTCGGCTCGAGACGCTGCGGGCATCGCCCCGCGGCTGCTGCCGAGCACCAGGCCTCAGACCTTGGCGGTCCGCCTGGGAGAACCCACGCCCCGGCGCGCCACTACACCTCGGACCCTGGGTCTCCCATTTCCTCGACCGCTTGACAGCACCACCGCGCCTGCTGTCCCTGCAGCGGCCGCTGTCGCTGCTGTCCGTGCCGCCGCCAAGACCTCCTTTCCCGCCCAGCACCGCTTCGCGCCGCTGTGACACGCCTCTATGTGAGCGCCGACGCCGCCGACGCGGCGGGCAGAAAGAGGTGCAAAGCTACTTAGAGAGGAGCGGCCGGGTTTGGCCCGCTAGCCTCCGGGACCTCTTTGGCACAGTCCCGGCTTTCCGTCCCCGCACCGCGCAGGATGCTGGGAATTGTAGTTGTCGGCGCACGGTAGACCACCCCGAGCGTATTTGAAGAGTGGAAAGGGAGTGAGCTTGCGTATGCGTTTTTCCAGGCTGCTATTCCACTGAAACAGAATAGTAGAAGACCTTTCTCAATCTCTCCCTTATTTTTACAGTCAGATGTTGGCCTAGATAATGGATCGATGGCGTTAAAATTCTTTTTTGTGATTTACTCAGATGTCGACTTACCATATAGCAGCCAACCTTCTTCGTTTCAATATGTACACACAAACGATTGTGAACAAATAACATTGATGAAACAAAGGTTAATTGAGAACAACATTCTTTTAAAGAGTTTCCTATTAGCCCTATCAACCTTAGATCACCTGTAGTCTGACAAATCTGCAGTCTCCCCAAATCACTTTTATGATTTTGACTCCTGTCTATAGTGAGTGAGGTCATACAACAGAGAAGCTGTGAGGCATCTCACCATTCAAAGGAATGGATACTTTTATTAGAAGAGTTTAAAGAAAGGGAAATATAGGTGAAATTTAAGTGAAATAGTATTTTTATAGGTTCAAAGCCAATTACGGCTATATGCAAAGAATTCAAATCATGTCTGGACTGCAATGTCGACTTGGATCATGTTAGCTTAGAAACTACCAAGTTAACATAGATACTAAATGTTGTCCCAGAAACCCCTTATCTGTGGCCCTGAACTGGGTTTGGAATATGAGGATGGCTCCGTGTTGAAATGACTAATCAAGGAAGGATATATTATTACTGATACATTTTCAAACAACAAAATGTCTGATATTCCATGATTTTAGAGAACAAATTTTCTCATTAAGCAGTAGTCACCAAAGTCACCTTGACGCTATAAGTGCAGTATTTCTTTGGGAGAAATATTGTGTCTTTTTAATTTTTCAGCTGACTTTATCTATGTATGTTATTTGAGCCCAGCAGAGATTCACTTACTCAGAGACCTGTTTTGCTCGTCTAATGAAAATGTGGCATGTGATTATTTATGTTTATAGCTAGTATTAGATAAATCTGTTATTTGTTTATTTATTTATTTTGCATTTCCACAAAGTGCACTGTAATTACAGCTGAATTTGTACCAACTAAATTTGGGACTTGTACTTACTGCCTGGAAAACAATCAGTAAGTATGTGTCTAGTGCCCAAATATGCTCTTTC